CTAACTTGGAGAAAATGGAAATTTGTGACACTTTTAGGTTGAAAGTAGGAGCAAATTTTATCCTTGCAATTGAACCTACTTTACTATCGTAACTCCTATATATAGTAGAATGAGAGGTTCATCAGAGAGTCAAAATTTCGACTCGGGTTGTGATACGCAAACGAAATATAATAAAAATCTATTGTTTCTGTATATAAAATCAAACTTCGCTCAAAGAGAAGAATCAAACGCGATTAGCATAAATGAAATTACTTAATTATAATTATAATTATAGTTTTAAACAACAGCACATAATATATGATATGTTGAATTTAAATAATCAACATGATTTACATAATATATACAATTATTCTCTAAAATACAACTATTAGCACTATGATCAAAGTGGACAAATTTGAACAACGATAAAACAATTATATGTACTTCGCGGTTTTTAAAATTTACAGCAAAAGATGAACGCTACTTACAATCACGTGGTTTGCGTGCGTTGAACTACACGTCACTCGAAAAGAAAATTGCTCCTTGAATAGGTGCTCAATGAGATGCAGTCGAACGGCGATTGGCTTGTTTATTCAGTAACTAATCAGTTAATTGATTAAATAGCAACTTCTATATACAGAACGTGTGAAATGCTGTGAAAATAATATTATATAACGAATTTTAATGTAAAAAATATACAAATAGAAGTGCTAGCAATAATTGCTGCTAAATAATTGTAACAAAACTTATATAATATAACTTTATTACTGCGTCATATTGTATGTAACACTTAAAAAAAAATGCTGCGTGTATATATTATTTATTATATTACAATATTACAGAGATGTTTAAATACTTATATAATATACATGTATATATATATATATGATGTATATATATATATTATATATACGTATTCTATTATATACGTCTTCTATTATATACGTATATAAATATATAAATAATTATAATATTATAAATAATATAATTCACTATATATAAATATTTTTTTTTATCTCTTAAAAAAGGGAGAGAACGAAAACTTTTGTAATATAAAAATGTGAGCAAATCTCTACTTCGAGTAACGTACATGTCAACTGCTTATCCATCTGAAGCTTTTAAACAAACAAATAAACAGACACATTTGTCATGACATTACAATTGAACGGACATTACTGTTAAGAATCAATTTTAATTAGATTCTTTCATAATTGCAAATTACTTGTAACGTTTTATAAGGTTTTTTTTTATACGTTCGTACGTTTGTTGTACAATGTCCAATTATGACTTGTGAAATGAATGGGATGATAAAGAATGATGTTTATGTGCATTTCTTATATGGAATAAATGTCAAAAAAGCAAAAGAAATATTATCCAATTGTAATTAGCAAAGACAATTATATAATACTGAAAAGAAAAAATATAGAAAAAAGTTGCATATCTCCCTTTTTGCCGTTAGTTTCTCGACTATAATCTCATATTAAAGAATTCGTTTCATGCTATAATTTTGATATAATTGTACTAATTGTAATAATACACACAAACATTTCTTTCCTTTTTACACATGTATAAATGAATGTATAGATATACATTCAATGTGCTTTGTACAGTTCAAAGCTTCGAAGTTTTAATATCTTGAAAAATTTCATCCTTTATTTTTAATATTACTTCTTACTTAATCTCTAAAGCTTATTTAGTAACTTGATTTTTTTTAAGATTATATCATCATGCATCGACAAGTCAAAAATTCAAAATTCTGAATATCAGTCAAATCAAGCAACTGATACAACGAAAGTAAAAAAAAATAGAAATAGAGGTTATGCGTTCTCTTTGAAATTGCTAAAGTGCAGTGACTTCGTGTCATTGTATAGTGAAAGTTTCGCGATATCGATCGTTTTATATGTACATATCGTGAAAGAAGCCCGTCTCTTATCGTAACAACTTGTCGGTCAAATTTACATCTTCAGATAAAATGTTCGTAAAATATTAAGCCGCTTTGCGTGTATCGGATAAATATTACGTTATTAGAAGAAAACCAGTTATAGAAACATAGTGTCATAATCACCGATGTTTTCGCAAGGAATGCATAAAAAGTGAATCTTCATTACGAATCGGACTTTACATTATTTTGTCGAAAGTTACGTAAAAAAATGAATTAAAGATTGAGAAATTAATTGCAACACTGTCACTTTAACAAAATAATCAATATATCCGTTGATAAAAAAAAAACTCTTACCTATCGTTTTGTCACGGAGAATTCATTACAAGGCCATAAGACGATCCAATGGACCGATGACCCCCAAAGGAACAATTTTAATTTGAAGCTTTGAACTGATTTTCGAAAATTTCATCACTTTGTTCATCTAGATTGTATGTTTCCACATAAGATGTTTCTGAGTTTGTGGTGCTGTATCCTGATTCATATATCGGTGACATGTATATTTCGGAATTTGGAGTACTAGGTTCCAATTCATTTACCAGTAATGTGTATGTTTCGGAGGTTGTAGCGTTTGTTTGAGTGATAGGTCTGCAGGTAAAATTAGTAATGAGTAAAATTAGTAATGTGTTAATGTGAACATGTGGTATGTGTAATTTTGTGTTTCTTACATTTCGGCTGTAAAAGTGCGATTTCTCCTGTTTTGGTTCATCTGTTTTCTTTTGTGCGCCTGTTCGTGTTTCCTCAAGTGATCGTGACGGATGAATCCTTTATTACATATTGAACAATGAAACGGTTTAATAGCACTGTGACCGTATTCATGCCTTTTAAGATCGGTCTTGTGAACGAACTGTTTATTGCAGGAAGAAAAACTGCATTCAAATTTCTTCTCCTGCATATGTTTTACCAAATGCTTGTCGCACTCGGCTTGAGTGTGGAATTTCTTGCCGCAAGTGTTGCATCTAAATGCTTTTTCGCCGTTGTGTTGACTATTCATGTGCTGCGTAAGATAGCACTGACTTTGAACTTCTTTGCCGCAAATGTTGCATTTAACAGGTTTGTTATCTTCTTTTGAGTTTTTTTTTCTTGGACTATAAACAATATCTATAAACACTTGATCCTTATTCTTTGGATTCTTGGTGGTTCTATTACTTTTGCCACCAGTTTTACGTTTGTTCTTGAGCGGCAGATCAGAATCCGAATCATCCAAAACTTGAATATTGTTGTTATCTTCGAACACAAGACGCTTACAATTCTTAGGCATTGAGATCATTGCTGACTCGCACATAGTCACCGATTTGTGAGTCGACGGACAAATTGTATACGAATAAAGATACTCGCAGGATTTCAGAGGATTAGTCTCCTCAATATCTAGTCCCCCCACGTTAAAAATTGATTGTATTTCATTCTGACGTACATATCTGCCGTATGCTCCAACACTCTGTATAAAGGCCCCAAAACTGGGTAGAGGTTCATGGCCAGTAGTAGGTGTTACCATGAGGATAGGCGTTTTGATATGTCGGTGCACCTGGTTGATAATAGGAGTAACGTGGGGGGACAACACGTTTGGGTAAGGCTGGATCGTAGTATCCTCCATCGGTATGGGTGAATTCATGTGATGCGACGGGTGGACTGGCGAGGTATCCATTGGAGAAGTCAGGTGGGACGCCGGAGACAGTGGAATGGGAGTATTCGAATGTATTGACTGAACCGGAGAACCCATTGGTAGAAGAAGCTGCTGCTGCTGCTGCTGCTGCAGCTGCTGCTGCTGCTGCTGCAGATCCAGTTGACGAGGTGCAGAGTCCACCACTTGTTGCTGATGATGTAACAGTGGCGATGGAACCGGGGGCGAAGTGAGTGGAATTATTCCCAGGTGGACAAGTTGTTGTTGATGGTGTTGTTGTTGTTGTTGTTGTTGTTGTTGCTGCTGCTGCTGCTGCTGCTGCTGCTGCTGCTGCTGTTGCACTGCTAGAACCGCTACCGTGGAGTTGTTGTCGTTGTTGTTGCTGAAGTTGTTGTGGGCATTGGGTAAAATTGGCAGGCCCCTCGTCGCCTCTCCCGAGGGACCTGCAATCAAGTTTGGGGGACTCCTCGATAAGTTTGGTGAAGATCGAGTAGAAGCTCTGTTACTTGTTGCACAAGTAGAATTATTATCTCTTGGATGATGATGGGCTGCTATAGGTAAAGTTGATGGATCAGGATCTTTGCTACCCTTAACTGCATTTTTATGTAATGTAGTGTTATAATGTCGTTTTAAATGACCAGAACTGGTAAACCACTTGTTGCACGCAGTGCAATTGTACGTCTTTGGCCGACGCGGTTCGTTGCTTTTCCACGACTGATTTGGCCGTGTTGATGCCGGTTGTGCAAAGCCTGGTGACATTTGCTGATTGGGTATAGGTGGTGTATTAGCAAGTATTGGCGATCCTTGATGCTCCACAGGATGTATGTTCTGAGGACGTATGAACTGATCGCCGATTGGTTGAACATTGTCCATAGGCACTCCCATCGATAATCCATGATGATATTCATGAGCTTGTGCAGGCCAACTTAACATAGAACTCACCGAATGTGTTCCAATTCTCTGCTGCTGTTGCATCATCTGCTGATGATGCATCTGCATCTGAAATCCTTGTTGCTGGTGCTGTTGCAATCTCATATCTTCCTCGTATCTGTGCGTTTGCACTTTATGAGAATCTAAATCAAGAATCTCAGCTTGTTCTTCAGATTCTTGTTTCATATCCGATTTGGCAGGTTGTACGCCATTGTAATCATAACCTTGTTGTTGTTGCGGGTGATTCGAGTGAGGGGAAGGATGCAACTGTTGACTTTGCGGACTGCTGCCCAACTGCTGATATTGAGGGGGAAATGCGGAAGGGGAATTCAAATGATTCGTTCGTAAATGCTCACCCAACTGATTCGCATCTTCGTAAACAATACCGCATTTGTCGCACGAAAAAGGCGGACTACGCGGACTAGCAGAATTTGATGCTACGTGGTCCGTAGGAAAATGATGCTGATACGGATGATAACGCGAATAAGTATTATCGCGACAACCATTCGCCTGAATTTCTTCTTGTGGCGGCGAATAAGGATGAGAAATAATAAAGTTATCGTTTTGCATATAATAAGGATCGGTAAATATTTGCGGATAATGATCGTACGGTTGACATACAATTGGATGTAAAGTTGACTGCTGTTGATGTTGTTGAGGTGATTGTTGTTGTTGTTGTTGTTGCTGCGGTTGCGGCTGCGGCTGCGGCTGCGGCTGTGGCTGTGGCTGCGGCTGTTGCTGCTGCTGTTGTTGCTGCGGCTGCGGTGTTTGCTGCGTGTTTGTTGTTTCCCGTGAAGGCGACATTGATGAAGATTCGTTCGAATCTATCGGCACGGTCACACTGTCACGACTAACATTCACGTGGCTATTATGATTACCAGTCTTACTGTGATTATTATTGCTTTCTTCTTGCTGTGCCTTATTGGCCCACTGATTCATCAGATTTTCTTGATGTTGATATCGCAGATGAACTTCCAAGCTTTTCTCGCTTTCCAAGTTGAGACCGCAATTCTTGCAACGATGCTCCACTTGCGAACTACTGCTTACGTGTTGCTGTTGCTGTTGCTGTTGCTGTTGCTGCTGCTGCTGCTGCTGCTGCTGCTGCTGCGTCTCAACACTCATCATTTCACTTATTATTGTTTTTTCTCCACTCGATTGTTAAGTTATATGTTTTAACTGACGCGCACGCAAGAAACAGTTCTCTCTATACAACACATACACACGCAGAACAAACTCAAACGAAACACACATCAGCGCTTGGCGCGCTTGAGTGCGCGCAGCGACGACTAAGCAATTCTTTTGTTATTTTTTCTTTTTTTGGTCTGTGTTGTTACACTTTACCACTCCGTAAAAATTATAATAGAAAGAACCGTACGTGACGCTTGAGACCACGCGAGACAGCACATGGATGAAGGCGTCGATAGATACACATACTGACATATAACGGGCGGGTAGTCACGTGTAGTATCGGGAAGCTTCACTAGTCTCGACGCAATAACGCTGCTTGTACATTAGCCGACTAGGTGAAGATATAAGCGGGGAATCGAACAAAACGAAAAAGGACAAAATAAAAAGAAAACGGGGATACAGCGTGTTCTACATTTATCATATGATCGTACCAATTCCGGACGCGAATATCCAATTCAATGTCGCACGATATGGCGTGATCACCTCATACAGCATCGTCGATTTCGGCTCAGTGTATCGACAGCGAGAACGGTCGTCGCTCTTTCTTTGTTTTTCTATTAAAATGAAGTGTAGAACACACTTTCTCAGTTGCCAAACGTCGAACGATTATTCATGCTTGCTGACTCGATCTCATAACGAAATAAAGAGACGCGTATATTTCCTGATATGATTGACTTATGTCATAACATATTTCTTTGTATGCTGATAAAAACTGAAGATTTAACGCGCTTGCGTTTAAATAACTTATCTTGCTCGATTAAAAGGAAGCAGTCACACGGTGTTGCGAGATAATCCAAACTGTTCTTCGAATTTTGACAATCTTCACTTCAGAACTATTGATAATTGTTCAATCACAAGAGAATTTCACTTTGCACTGCCGATATTGCAAATACATTTTTATTTAATAACTGTGTCTATGGCGGGCTGTGAATATCTCAGAAGTGGTCACCTGACGTCGCACATCTGATAGTGAAGAAACCGACTTGCAAACGCAACCACATCGCGTCATCCCCCTCCGTCTATTCTTCCCTCTCTCTCTTCTTTCTTTTCTCTCTCACTCACTTCGGATTACGCGCGTTCAACACAGCACCGTCCAACCGTATCGCACGGACGTCCGTACCATTCTGTCGGTTGGAATCCCGTAGTTCGAGTCCTCTAGCTCGCGTTAAGGCACAGTTTCCCCTCACCCTTCTCCTCCGTGTCCGCCCCCTTGCCGCTTCCTTCGCCAATCCTCGCCACCCCCTCTCGTCGTCACTTGCCGACTCTTCGGATTCTCTCTCTCTGTCCTCCTCCTCTCTCTCAGACTTGAGCGCGTTTCTCCTCATTTTCTATCTCTATCTCTCTCTCCCTCTGTCGCTGTCGCTCCAGCGTTTTCTTCCTTTCTCGTTCAACACACTGGTGAAACATTGCTTTCTTCGTTTAGCATTCGAACTTTCTCTTTCTCTCACAAAGACTCTGTTGTTCTCTCGCGCTCCTTTCGTCGGAAGAACTGGCGGTCTCTCGCTCTTTCTTTGAGGTCTCTCTCTCTCTCTCTCTCTTTCTCTCTCGCTCTTTCTTCCTCTTGTTTAAACTTCTCCCTTCTTCCTCATTCAAATGCTTGGCCAAAACACGAGGCTGCCTACCTTCTCTTTCCCTCTTTCTCGTTTTGCTTAGTCCTGTCTCTCCTCAGCGTACAAGCCCCACTACCTTCGACTCCAGTCGATCTTCTCCGATTCCCGCCTGAACTAAAGAGGGATAGGCACGCACGACAGAACGGTGGAGCGACGGCCAACCAAATTTGAGGCAGCACCTTGCCCCTCCTGGTTTCAACCTCCCTCTTCGAGAGTCTTCTCCACAGAGTATTTTGGCTGTTCTCTTCCTCAGGCTCTTATACGCTCCTCTTGCTCACTCCCGTGCGCGCTCCTCGCAACGAAGAAGGATGTTCCGCACAACGTGTCCGTTTTATTTCTCTCTCTCTCTCTCTTTGTTGGATACATCTTTTACAGACTCTCTGCATCTTCTTTCAATTACACCCCCACGTCTCTGCCGATCTTCTTTGGTGACGCGTCTGAGAGATAGAGAGAGAGAGAGAGAAAGAGAACACGACATGCGCACGGAACAAGAATCTCGTTTTTGCGCTCTCTCGTCTGTTGTCTGTGTGTGATTTTTCATATGGTAGGATTTCCCGAAAACTCTTATTTTTTTGAGTAAAAATTTCGACTTTCTACCATCGCAGCATTCTTTTAATGTGTTTCTTTATCGAGAATCGTGAGTGATCAAGAAGTTACGTTCTTAACGGATACACAGTATTATACTGCTGAATCTTCTGGCGCGAAATTGAAATCTAGAGAGTGTTTTAAATATCGTTAATTCGTGTAAGTGTCGTTTATATACGGAGTAACTCTAATGTAAATTTTCAAGTTGAATTCATTTCAAATTACTTAATGTTGTATTAATTAACACATTTGAAAAATATTTCGCACGTACATCCAGCGTTCTTACAGACCTTGTTTTATTTCTCTCATGTTGTGCAATAGTGAAAGAGTATATACAATGTACAGTTTGCATATATTTGTTGAATTTTGTTTGCAGAAAATTTTTTACGATGTAAATAAGTTTGAAAGTGTATGTGACATCTACTCAAAGCGTTTACAATTTACGATAAGGTGAATAATCCCTGATTTGTCTTAATGTGACATAAAAATAAAACAACGCGCTTGTGATTCAAGACAAAATTTTCGAAGTCATAATAATTCTACTTCGATACGGAAAAGAAAATCAACGCTACGGAAGAAACAAATGTAATGTCCTGGCGACTTTTAACGCGTCAGGGATCATCGTACGGGCCGTTCCGCGACCCCACCTTTTCTTGCCAAAAAATCCCTTCGTCCCAACAGCTCAAAGATCACCTAATTCCGTCGAGTAATAAACGTAACTCTCGACAGTTCACCTAACTTTTTATTGGCCTGAGCCACGAGTCCCTCTTCATAGGTATCAGTGTAAGAAATGCGGGGGATGTATTAACCGACGATAACCAAACTCTTTTTCTCGCCTTCCCGCGCACCATCTTCCGTTCCATCCGGCTCCCTCGCAAAGCGGCGGCTCGAGTAAATAAAAAAAAAAAAAATTCGGGTAACCTTGTACATTTTTTTCTGATATATCTTTTTTTTCACGCGCGAACCCAACTCTCTCTCGGACCCGTGCACTTTGCATACGGAATGCGACACAAGTTCCTCTATCCCTGTCTCTCTGCCCCGACTCTCTCGATTGTCGCTGTATATATTCACTATTGTCTAATTCTTTACCTCAACTGTGAATACGTGACGGATACCTGAAGGGATGAGAGAACCACCTTGCGTGTAGGCGAGTGCACGTGGTGACGAATGTGTCATAATATTTATTATTTTTGAATAATCGGTTTTGAAGTAAGACGATGATTGGTCTCTTCTTACTTTCCTTAATTAATTACTAAAAATACACGAATTATTTATACATTTGTGTTTTAATTTTTAAAAGAATTGATAAATATTCGTGAAGAACAACATCAATCTCTGAAATATCTTAGAATCTCGTGAGGAAATAAGCAGCATGGAGCTGTTTTGCTTTTACGAGCAACTTCTTCAATAGCTTCGTTAATTATCGGATCATATTTCTCGATTCCCTCGTCAAATCGCTTCTCCCGCATTTTTTGTTTTACATTTGTTTTCTCTACCAGCGTGCGGGATGCGGCGAAAAGGCCATCGACCAGCAAGGAGGGTAGATTGAATCAACCTAAGCAGCAAACCACCCTCGTACAGATTCTGTCCTGGCAACCTCTCCCCTTGCGTTCATTCCCTTCGCTCACGGCATTTTCGAAGTGGACGCGGAGCTGACCGGACCACTATCAGCTAGATATTCGCTGGCGTGGCGTTTGCGCCCTATTTTATTAAGGAAATCTCACACTCCAACCTCTACCTCTCTTCTCGTCTTACGAGAAGCCCCCCCTCCCCCGCGGACTTTCGTGTCACAAACTCCTACGGCGCGAGAAAATCTCGTAACACGTGCCACGACGTGCACTTTCATACTTTTTCTTTCTTTTACTCTCGTCGGTTTTTTCTTTCGACTTTTTTTTTCTCTCTCTCTCTTCCACAGGATTGTTTTTTCTTAGCATTTTTCTTGCAAAAGAAAAAGAAACACGACGGCTTTGCTAGCAAACCCATTGTGTGTCATCGACCTCAGATTCTTAGGTCCTAATTTATTATATTATCATGCACGATATATCTTAATATTAATTTTTTTTAACGCGCAAATTTCTCTTTTTTTTTGTAAACAACAGTATGTTTTCAAATGAGTTACTATATATAGATATAACATGGCAAATAACAGTTTTTATTATCGTTTTACTGCGAATTATGTTACACGGTTTACGCAAGCTTCGTTAGCGAGGAGAGTTGCACAAAAAAAAAAAAAAAAAAAGAAGAATGAAGTAAACCGTCTGACAAAAGAAATCTTGTCCTGCACAATTTTTTTCAGCACATGACGAGTTTTACAAACCGCAGCTCGCGGTTCCAATCTCGCTGGCAAGACCACGACAAGGCTCGTTTCTGGTCGCGAAACTGTCGGATCTCGCGGAGAACAGAAAAAAAAAAAAAAAAAAAAAAAATATTTCGCGAGCTCGGCAAAGAGGGAGGAACTCGGCGAGGAGGGTCGCCCATCATTAAAAAGGAAATTATAACAAAGTGGTTCCTCTCCGCGACGTCTGGGCTGTCATTTGGGATGGCGGTGGACGAGAGTTAGCCGCAGTACGAGAAGACGATCGGCGCTGAAGAAGGAACAAGTAGGAACGGCTGAGTCAGTTCGCGCGGAAAACGAATTGAAATTTTAATCGTCCACCCTCTACACCGCGTTAAATGCGTCTGCCACCTTGCCAGCTCCGAACCTAGCCTTTCCTGGGACGCGACCCTCGCTAACCTCCTCGGTTCTTCTTTTTTCCGTCTCTCTCTCTCTCTCTCTCTCTCTCTCTCTCTCTCTCTCTTTTTTCCTTTACTCGCGGAACTAAATGCTTTTACGCGCGTCGCTATTATGTCCCGCCCGATGTCCTTCTCTCGCTTTTAAGCTCGTGTTTATTCCCCCGCCCGACAGTGGACATTTTTCTCGTCAGCGAAGAGCTTCGTAACGTGGGAATCAGGTGCACGTGTCTTTTTCGCGCTCAATTTGTTATTTAATTTATTCAGAGTTGCTTTATGTATTAAATACCACAATTTAGCGGGACAGAGAATAAAAGTTAAAAAAAAGAATATAAAACAAATATCTCAGATATATATTAATCAAATATATGTTGCATATTTTTTTTTATGAGAAAGAATCATATAAATACACGTTGAGTTTTCGACTTATTTTGTCTATTCCAGAGATTATGTTAATAGATTAAATCTATTCGACTCTTGAAATTTTTTTTTTACCATAGAATACAAAGCTATTGTTAGAAAAAAAAAAAAAAAAAAAACTATCCGCGAGCCACGATTACGACGAGCGAACGATTCTCGCTGAAAGGTGTCGTTTTCAAACGCGTAGGACACGCAAAGGTGCGAACAGGGAGTCAACGCGTGACGTTGATCCCGCGCGCTTAATGAAAAGCCGATCGCCGACGAGGACCTCCGACGGTCTCATCTCTCGACTATCGCGTATCGTATCGAATTTTTGTCACACAGGACGCGCGTAGAGGATGGAAGGAAGAAAGAAACACGAATCTCCCTCCGAAGCCATTGAGAAGTTATTGAGAAATCGTGAAAGTCGATCGGCTCGAGCGACCTTCCTCCAGACCGTCATTGTAGGCCACGTGCAACCCGTCCGATCGCGCAGCTAGTCCGCCCTGGGGGAAGAAAAAAAGGGAGCATTGTAAGAAATTAGAGCCCTTCTTATGGTAATTGGACCACCGTATGATTGCTGGTTTACACCGCGGGCTACCGCGGTCGGTCGCGCGCATCGTTTCTTTGCGCATCATCCGAGCCAGGCCAACGACTCGGCGGGGACCGGTGTGTGTTGGCTCGGGCACGTGTCGCACGCGTTCTTTTTTTCAAAATCTGTCAAAGTCGGAGAAAAAAAAATTCGACGATTCTCTTCTCGCGTCCCACTGACAACGTCCGAGAAGA